ACACACACACACACACACACACACACGGTTTAGTATAGCTATCTTTATAGGGACTATGCCTTGACTTGCAGTCATTTCTAGCCTAACCCTAAACTCAGTTCACACCTTAGTCCTAACCGTAACCCAGTGGTGTCCAAAGTCGGTCCTCAGGGGCCGGTTTCCTGCATGTTTTAGGTGCTGCCCTGGTTCAACACAGCTGAACCGAAGGAGTGCCTAATTAGTAGGCCTCTGCAGACTTTAATGGCTGAGGAGGCCTACTAATTAAGGTAGGTTAGGTTCACCAAAGCTGTGAACCAGGGCAGCACCTAAAACATGCAGGACACTGGCCTTTGAGGACTGACTTTGGACACCACTGCCCTAAYCAGTGTTCATTGTTTTCAAATTATCTCATTTATCATCTTTATGAAGTGGTGAATTATTTGTGATGAAAAGCCAGGTGATGATTTATACATACCATAAAGTGTTTGGGTTAAATAAATAAGGCAAAGGTTTCTAAGAGATTAATAATGAAATTATTTCTTTTCTCYAAGGCCTGAGTGTTGCTTCAGCTCCTTCAAGCGTCTCGACTCGAAAGCTGCCATAGATAAATTCAATCTCGACCTGGGTTTTCGAATGCTCAACTGCGGTCGAACAGACCTCATCGGTCAGGCCATCGATCTGCTCGGACCAGACGGGGTTAACAGCATGGACGACCAGGTACTCAAATCTATTTGTGCAGATTTACTGAAAATCAGCATCTGCTTCCCTTTTCAAATAGAATGCAGGTGGCCATATAACTCATTTTTATATTGTATATAAAATATTGCATATTGTGAACAAGGTCAGAATAAGGCCGATATGCAAACATTGTTCCTCAAGTATTTGAGCACCAATGATCTCTTTAAGTCCATCTCAATATTTGACACATTTTTAGCTAATAGTCATTTTGACGTTTCTTTTGTAATTTGTCTGAAAAGAAACTCTGTAAGTTATGGAAATGTTATTCCCAACTGCAGACCAATATTATGACATTTGAGTTGAAGAAAACACGTCTTGTTTCTGTTTGTTTTATATTCACAAGACTCACTTCTGTCTGTCCTCCAGGGTATGACCCCTATGATGTACGCCTGTGCAGCTGGAGATGAGGCCCTTGTCCAGATGTTGATTGATGCTGGAGCCAACCTTGATGTGGCGGTAAATATGCTTTTAATAGTCAAAGCAGATGGCCAGTTACCTTAATGTTGCATATTGTATACGAGTAAAAAGCTCATGAGTCAACAGAACATATATTTATACTAAAACATATAATTGTTGTGACTTTTATGATTTTATCTATTTTTTTTCATCCTATCCTCCAGATTCCACCGTGCTCCACAAAACATCCCTCAGTTCATCCTGAYAGTCGACACTGGACAGCTCTTACCTTTGCAGTGTTGCATGGACACATCCCCGTTGTGCAGGTTGGAAACTTGAGCGCAAACAAACACACACACATTGTCAAGCTTTAACTGTGTTTGCATGATTAGAAAACTTGACATATTTGAAGCTGGGCTGTACATTAGTTACTTACTTTAGGACGCTGTTTAACTGAACTTGTATGATGTTTCTCTGCAGCTCCTGTTGGATGCAGGGGCCAATGTGGAGGGGGCAGCCGTCCGCAATGGACAGGAGAGTACAGCAGACACTCCACTGCAGCTGGCTTCAGCAGCAGGTGGGCAAGCACACACGCTGCAGCTCAAAGCATGGCTTATGTTAGTGCAGACTAACTTATTGTTGGTTTGGGCTATGATCTGATTTGTTGTTGTGAAATTACTGCTGTCTGCTAACAGATGCACAACACTTGGAGCGGGGTTAAGCAGAGGCAGCAATGCTGAATGAAAGAACTGGCATGGTTGTCTGCAACTAAAAACTAAAAATCACTAATTATTTGTAATCAACACCACGGCATGCTAGTTTTCCATAGACCACCAAGCTGTGGGTGGGAGTAATGAGGAGTAAATGAAGGTGTGGTGACAAAAGAGAAATGCTGCCTGCAGTTGTTTAGTCGCTTCTGGYTGCATTCCTCAGTGGGGCCATCTGAAAGCCACACAGCTCTAATAAAACCAACACATGCTCCACATGTTTGTAGTGACAGTGATTGGGCTGTTTGTAAATGTAAMGTATAGCATACATTCCCAGTTTAAATAGTTTGCACAGTGGCACGAAAACGCCAGGATATCATATTTTTTTTTAAATATAAACTAAAATGAATCAATTAAAAACATATGATGCCAAAAGGGAACAAAAATGTCCCCATTTGCAAAAGATTTTTTGAGAATTATTTTTTATTTTATTTAGCATTTATTTCATTTAATTAAACATTTAATCAAAAAACAAAACAATTTTCAACACAGCACAATCATTAAATGAAAGGGAGCAGAAAGAAGAAAAAAAATCATAACTTTTGCTCCATTTTTAGACATGTTCAGGAGTTATCTGTAATTAAATGTAAGATGCTTATAGTTTGAATCTATATTTGAGAAAAAAAGGGGCAGATATTATAAGATTTTTCTTCTCTCTGCCACCTTTCATTTAATTTTATTTGTATTTTTTTATTACGTAGAATTTTGTTTTATGAAATAATAAAGTTTATAAGTTCAAGTGTTTATGTTCTTCTTAGGCAACTATGAGATGGTGAGTTTGCTCCTGGCTCGTGGCGCTGACCCTTTATCAAAGACTCACGATGGAAGTGCCATTACCTCCTCTCTTTATGAAGTTATGAACTGCTTCAGTCATGCTGCTGCACATGGACACAGGTATGTTTGAGTCAGTTTGGCCTTGAAAAGCTTTGCACAAGTGTTGACAACTGATACAAGAGGAAAACGAGTTAAAACTGAATACTGTAAATATATTTACACTGAAAATACCTTAAAAAATTCATCCATCCTACTGTGAAATATGAAAGATATTAGGGGTGAGGGTGTGGAAAGTGATTGCAGGAGTCTTGCTAAATTCACCATCCAGTGTCGGCTTAATCCACCTGTTGGCTCAGTGCATGTGTGAACCCACTGTAGACTCAACACTTCACATTCCACACAGAGGATGATGGATTAACTAATCACAGAGGAGATTACAGGGTCAGAGAAATCTAAGTCTGTTGGTGTCTGGTTGTATATCAATGATTCCMTGCTTTCTGTTTCCTTCCTTCTCCGCCTTTACTCGTCCCCCTTTTCTTTCCTCCCATTTATCTTGTCAGGAACGTGCTGAGAAAGCTCCTGACTCAGCCCCAGCAAATCAAGGAGGATGTCCTGTCTCTGGAGGAGATCCTAGCTGAGGGGGTGGAAGATGAAGTTCCAGGGTTCTGTCCTTTTCTCCCTCTCCCTTTGTCAACTCCTGCCAACGGCACCGCAGCCCCACAGGAAGTGGGCATACCAAAGCTTTGCAAGGCCAGAATGAAGGCTCTGCAAGAAGCCAGCTACTACAGCGCTGAGCATGGCTACCTGGACGTTACGATGGAGCTTCGTGCTATGGGTACCTTTTCAGATTGCATAAAGATGTGGTTACTTCTCTATYGTTTGCAGAATCAAAACCCAAATATTCTCTTTCTGTTTAGGTGTACCATGGAAACTACACGTGTGGCTGGAGTCGCTTCGTTGTGCCCAGCACCAGTCCAAGACAGGGGTCACCCTGTCCCTCCTCAGAGAGTTTACCACAGTCCGAGAAGAGGACTACTGCGATGAACTCATCACCACAGGATTACCCCTAATGTTCAATATTTTGCGAACCACCAAGGTACCATCAAACACAATCCAAACTGTCATGTTTTTATTTCCCCCATTCTGTTTCAGTATTTTTGATATAATTCTCTCCTTCTGTTCTGTTCCACAGAATGATGCCATCATACAGCAGCTGGCAGCTATTTTTAGTCATTGTTTTGGCTCAGCACCTCTTCCAGCCATTCCTGAGAAGAAAGCTTCTCTTTTAGCACAGTTGGGTAAGAAAACCTTGATTATAAGCGTGTGGACTGACTTGTTCATGTTTAAATAGTGTAAACATATCCCAAATACTAACTTGGACTGTTGGATTTTATTTATTTATTTATTTATTTTCAAATAGACCGTCACTTTTTAAATAATCCAGAAATGTCAGATGTGACATTTATGGTGGAGGGAAAACCATTCTACGGACACAAAGTGCTTCTGATCACTGCCTCTGACAGGTACTCAATCCTTACTACATGGAGAACATTCATTTCTATCAAAATATATATTTTTAATAACACAAATGGGCTTTGATCACAAATCATGTCTTTAGGTTTAAATCTCTGCTGACGTCTTCTGGACTGGACGGAAGTCCCAACAAAGAAATAGAGATCTGTGAAGTAAAGTACAATATTTTCAAGGTATAAACATACTCCACACATATGACAAAACAAATCCAATACAAAGATTAAATTTAGTACTGACTTGGTGCGAATTATCCTCTTTTTCTTCCTCCACAGATGATGATGTCATATTTGTATTGTGGAGGAACACAATCGCTGAAGACCAGCGTGCCGGACTTGTTAGAGGTAAAAATCACTGTATTACAGTGCCAGAGTGATTTCCTTTGTGTAAAGAAGTGATGTACTTTCACTTATGTACAGTATATACACAATTAAAATCAGTTTATTCTGTAAACATCCTGTTCACTTGTTGAGCTCAACACTCAGGTAGTTCTCAGAACAAGCCTACATTAAGCAGCTATGAGTTCATTAAATTCAAGTACACACAYGCTTAAATGAGCTCAGGCCATGACTCACGTTGAACTGAAACAGTGCTCATCCAACACTAACTGGCTGGCACTGCTTCTTCACATGCATAAGTTAAAAAAAAAAGTTTAATGAGACCAAATAGGGTTTAATAATTTATTTAGCTGTGCGTGAATATGAGCTTCCTTTCAGTTTAAAATGGTTGCGTTGAAAAGTTCATAGGTTTGAACAAAGAATAAGGTTATTACAACTAATGTCAAAATTAAAGATTAAAATAAGAATCTATTGAGTAAAATAAGCCCTGCTTTTATTAATACAAACTTTCTCTGTTTTTCTCCTGTAGCTGCTGTCAGCAGCCAATATGTTCCAGTTGGGGGCGCTACAACGACACTGTGAGCTCAAGTGCTCTCAGCACATAAACTTRGATAACGCAGTCAGCATCTACAAAACAGCAAAGGTAATGTGTAAAAAGAACAGGTTGTATAGCTTTGAAGAATTTATTTTTGTGTAATTAATACAGAATCATCCTTTTCCATACAGACACATGGGTCAGTGGAGCTGTGCTCATTCTGTGAAGGTTACTTTTTGTATCAGATGCCTGCATTATTGGAAAGAGAGGCCTTCAGGACCCTGTTAYTGGGACCACCAGGAGCTCGACAGGGGAACAGCTCGACTTCACTGGCTCACAGCCGTGGTGACTCATTTTTGGAGGAGCTGGAGGCCACCCTGGCTCAGCGTCTGCGCTCTCTATACGTTTCATCCAGAGTCTGAAAACATTTCAAACACTGTAGAAGGAAAACAAGCAAATAGAAAAATGTGACAGTTGGAACAGAGACTTTTTTTATTTTCAAATCAGATGTAACCTTTCACACATCTGATCCTGACTTTTATAGAGCAGCTTCTGCAGAACTCCAAGCTGTGGGAGGGGCAAGCACTCTGTTGAGTCATTGAAAAATACATCACCTTTTTAAAGAAGGAAGTTGCACAATGTGATGATTTTCCCCTCCCAAGGCTCAGGCAGCTCCGGAAAAGAATCACAGGATGCAAAAAGGATGATTCCTAATAATGAAACACTGCTGCCATCTACTGGACAAAACAAAACATTGCCTCAGAGGAGCATCAGCACATTTTTGGGTTTTGACTGGAACTGTGTGAAGAAAAGACTGAAGCATCTGAGATGTGAGGTTCTGTTCAAATAAGACTGTGAGAAAAGAGAGGGACCTCAGTGTTATGTTGATATAACTTTTAATTAACACATATACTTTTTGATGCTATTTTTTTCTAAAATATGGTCAGAGAAATGTGTTCAGTGCAGAATGGGATGGGCATTTAATATTTAAGGGGACAAAGTGATGTATTTAATGGGATTTTCCCTTTTTGTGTTTATTCCTAGCTAATATTGTATAAAAATGCTTGTATTGTTTAGGTAAATTAAAAGTTAAATAAGCCTATATATCCTTAGGTTTAATGTATCCACACAGCCAGAAAATAAGATCCTAGCATYGGATTAGAACTGTTTTAGTGCTGAAAACTGAAATAAACTTGATAAAGTAGTCACGTCTTTTTTTTCCTTTTACTACCAGTTTGGGTGTGATGTGGACTTACCTGAAAACAGCAGACTTACTGTATATAAAACATTACAAAAAATAAGAGGTTATATTTTGGTGCTTAAACATAAAAGCTAGCTTTTWATTTTCAGGGCTCTGTCCACATATAGAAATAAAAAAAAACAAACACACCATAACTGAATGAATTTATTTGTTTCAGCACTGAAGATGCTCACAGTTATTTTCATATGGGGGATTACATCAGTAAATTGTTCCTGCTCTCAAAAGACCCATCGGGGCCTTAATTCATATGATGTCCTTCGTGCTGCTAGCTTCCCATTATAGTAAACAGGAGGGTGAACATCAGGTATTGCTTTGTGTTTGTAGTACTGGTATTTTTCCTTCCTGTGCCACTTCAACCAGCAGGTAGAGAGAGCCCAGACCTCCGAGGTACAGCGTAAAAGAAGCATTGTTGAAAAAACTTTGTGCACAAGATAAATAGGAGGAGGAGGAAGGGTGTGGGGTGGGATAGCAAACAAGAAAGCTTATAAAAAAGAAGGCCTGAAATAAAAACTGAAAGGGTGAAAGTAAAGAAGAGAAAGGGGAATTTAAACCTTAATAACAAGGTAGTTCAGTAGTGGGAGAACCAATGAGGGCAGAGAGGAGGAGTGAATTTGGCATGGAACATTAACACTAAAGCCATGCAAAGAAAAGCTCATGTTTGACATGCACACTGCAATAACAAGCTAAAAGCATAGATCAGGAATCCCCAGCATGGTTGAGAAGACAATCAACCCCCACAGCTTCATCTATTTACAGAGAGAAGACAGACTGGGATCTGTGGTGTCCTCCTCAGGCCTGGCATACACGCACAACAATATGAAACTGACAAATATCCATAGAAGAGCATATTCCCTCTCCAAAAAGAGGCTAAAATCTACATTCTTAAATGACTTGTAAATCTTTTTTTGTTTCCAGAGTTCCCACAAATTCCTATTTCCACTTCAGTAAGGTCTGGAAATAGGGAATTTCAGTTTTCAAAGTTCACATAATTTTGTTTAAGTCAGCAAAAGAAAACAAAATTATAATAAAGTTCATTTTTTTTCTTTAAATGTCCCATTTACAAACACACAAGAGGGTAGTAAATAACATTCAACTGACCTAACAGCTTTGTTCATATAAATAGCCAAGTTATAATAAATTAGGAATCAAACATTAAGGTGAACAAACATGAATAAATAAGGACAACAATACAAAAATATCCACAATTGCATTTATCACATCTTTTTTTTTGGTCCCTCTACTCCTACTGCTGGTTTCTGAGACTAAGAGAGAGGTACAAATGGGGGGAAATAAAAATCAAAGAAAGTGCTGCAGAAAACAAAAAACAGGAATGTTTGAATCATTTTCAGGTCAACAAAACAGAGAAATGATCGAGTAACAAAAATACAATGAAGAATTRAAAATAAGAGAACGCAGTTTCCTGTTTCTATGGTATCTAAACAGTGTCACAACTAGACATTTCATGGATTTTGTTTACATTAGAAATAACATCAGTCTGTACATCAGAATAAATCATTCATTTTAAATACCCACAKACCCTCCCCCCCATCCCCATACCATCGTTTCGACTCCATTGCTTTCCTCTGCCCAGCTTTTGCCGACACCCAGCTCTTCTCTGAAATCACAATTCCAGTCCGTGTCGCAGCAGCAGTATGAAGTCTAATAAAATCAGTAATTCAGTTCATCACAAAGAAAGTACATTTAAAAAGCAAACAAATACAATCCGGCAAGCATCCGCGTCGGCTGTTTGGACTTTCCACAAAATGTCCCTCGTGTCCCTCCTCCTCGGGTTTCTGAGGTTTTTTTTTCTTTAATGTTCATAATCTTTGATGCATCCCAGAGTTTTCTGTGCATACTGGACTTGTGCATGTGTGTTTTTGTTTGTAGAGCCTTCAGTGATTTTCACCAATGCTTTTTCTCCCCCCAGCCCGAATTTAAAAACAGAAATGCCTCTAAAACTGATAAAGTTGTTGATGAGTGCGATTGTATTGTCTGTGTGTGTGTCTGTGTGTGTGCAGATGTGTGTTTGTTGAAGATTTTGGGGCCAGGGTGAGGCGATGAAGGTATTTTCATCTACTTCTATGGATGATTGCCAAAGGTTGTGGAAGATGAAGGCAGGAAGAGTTTGTTTAGCACACCATGGAAAGCGGTCCTCCGTCAACCNGGGGGTGGGGGGGATGTGAAGCAGGAAGAGGGACTTTAATAGGTCTTCTGGATAATTCCTGGTGTGAGAAACAGTCAGGTCATTACAGAGTTCATCAGCACCAAAACAGGAAACAAAGTACGAGTCAAAGATGAGTGGGGAGGTGATGAATCATAATGAAGGAAACTAAAGTAATGTTTGTTCTGGAGGTGAAAACCCTCGTTTGTAAACTATCATTTGAATTCACTCAACATTTCTCAATTTAAATAAAATAATTTGTTAAAAAAATATGTCTATAAGTGATAATGTGACGGTGCTCTCTTCTGAGTTGTTGGTTTCTATTCACCCTGGGGTGGCTTTAGCACGGCCACAAAGTCTCTCAGTCTAAGACTCCTCCTGCCCCCCCAACAGACGGGATGGACAACTTTGCTCGGTCTTGGCTTGCCAGTGGGAATTTGGTGTCATGGTTTTCGGACTCGTGCCTCGGGACGTGCATGGGGGCGGGGCAACGCTTAGAGGGCGCGCCGGGAGGCCGGGGCACCTGTCCGTTCTTCTCGTCTGAAAAAAGTTGTTTAATTACGTCAAAGAAGTTACTCAATGGGTTGCCTAGGTACACGAGACAGGAAGAAGAGAGGACAAGAAAAGGGAGGAAAAGAGGAGAAAGAGAACAAACAAACTAATAAACAATGGGGCTCCCAGGAAAACAATGTGGCTAAGTGTTGGATGGAGCAAGCAGAGGAGCAGACAGTGAGCAGCGCCACTCAAACTACATGAATCATGCTTTATGTGACAAACCAACCCACAACTACAAGTAAACGGTTAATATTCTGAAAAATGTGTAAACTGAGATTCAAAAGATGAAAACTAGACATGAATCATCACAAGCAGGTCCAAACAGATGATTCAGACAACCAGATGCTTAGCTATCAGCTGCATATTAAAAGTTAGCTACMTGTGGGCGCTAGTTTTCATTGTTTTCCTGGTCCTGATCTCGACTTGGTCCAGCCCCTAAAAGTCTTATCTCAGCCCTGATACACTCTGGTCTTGGTACTGACTTGGTCTCAGGTTAGCTGGTCTGGACTACAAGCCTGTATTTCAGGAATAATATCATCTGCAGAAACCTCTCTATGTAGACGTGTAWGCGGCACATTTAGTTTTTCCAGCTGCACCCGTCAGTAGAACGATGACCTCAGCTTCTGTCTCCTTTACGTTCCAACCTTTGTTATTTGTGACCAATTTCCCATTCTGCCTCTCCTCCTAAATCTGTACACTTTCACAAAAGCGGAGAACCTTTTTAAACTTAACGATGATGACTGATCAATAAAACGCCATCTTCTAAAAGAACCGTCTCTGAATGCTTTTCACACTTCTTTTTCTTCTTGTCAATTGTCTTTCTAAGCCAGTCTCCAAAGTATGAAKACAATGCAGATGCTTATAGGAGACAAAAATGACCAAGACTTGATTAAACCTTTTGTTTGATATGCAAAGCTCCTTCTCCTGGCAATAAGAGTCATTTAGCTTCTTAAAGGCCTTGCGGTCAAGGCGGCATTGCTTTAATTTCCTGCTAAGGATATACTAACCTATATGTAAGATGGTATAAAAACATGGAAATCACTGAAACTAGTGTTSCACCTTTTTATTTATGTTTTGTAAAATCAACATTAAATTCTCTAATTCTTTCATTGCCTCTCTCATTATGCAAAGTGCTCTGATTGTACTCTTACAATGTGATTCCTGCTCTGCACACAGCCCACCGCAGTCATTAAAACCTAATTTAACATAATTTAACATAATTTCACCCTTCCCACACCTCAGCTGGATAATGAGCACGGCGATATGAAGGATCAAAAATAATTGGTAAACTTACTGAGGCAAAGCAATGACAACAGACTGTTAAATATTACTACAGACAGTGAGGGGAAAAAGACAGCTCATCCTCGGATAATGCAAAAAAAATCGGATTACAGCACAAAGACATGCAGTGTGATGGGAGTACGYTAACCTGTGTCTGACATGAATCTGAGAATTAGGAGGACAAAAGCTGACTCTGCGAGTGTTCAATTAAAACATGGGATGAAACTGATATTTGAAGGAAACTGCGCACAGCTTCGCCTCGATGAACCCGAGTCTATTTCTCTCTCTGACCAGCAGATGGCGGTGTTATACAGACAATGAGATTTAAACAGCAGTGACTCACAAGAACGAACATGCACAGAATAGAAGGAGAGGAGAAAGAACCCTATTTCTCATGTATTCTCTTCATGCAGACCGTGCATTAAGAGATTGTATTAGAATAAATAAATAAAACAGGATGTATACATGTCCATGGGATTTTTAACAGCCTTGAATCTACTGAGAAGACTGGAGTGAAACCATTGAGCTCATATTAAATCCAAAGTTTTACCAATTTTGGTTTTAAACCCAGCAGAGTCCATGAAATCATCTAGTCCGGCTGCGCAAAAATAATAAAAACAGAACAGAGAAAGACGGCGCTGAACACCTATCAGGTGCGGCGTCGTTCTCGCTATGTTGAGGCGCAGCAGTGTTGCCATGGCGACAGGCTCGGGGCGAACAGTCTTGAAAGTCGAAGTGAGAGTAAGGGAATGGGCCTAATCTGGCTCCGCTCCACTTTAATCTCCACTGCCGGGGCAACGAGGCAACATTTTGACCCGCAAGGCCGAGCCTTTCAAGTCAGCGAGGCGCAGACATGCAAAGGGAGGCATTTGGAGAGGCGGAGCGCGGCTCGGGGATTTTCAAGCACAGAGAAGCAAAGAGAAGGTCGAGATTTAGCTTAGCTTTCAGCTGGGAGGTTCATTAAAGGGTGGGGTGGAAGTAAGAGGCAGTGGGAGTGGGTGAAGAAGTTTCTTTGGGGAAAATAATGATCGTTTAATATATAGTAGGAGACATTACTCACCAGAGAGCTGCTGAACCCCCGGCTGGTCATGTGTGCTTAACAACTGACTCTGAATCGTCTCGATCACTCGCTTAAATCGTCGGCTTGGTCCTGCTTGGACAAACACAAATGAAATTAACAAGTAGATCTTTTTATGAGTTGAGACATTGAGTCATCACAGAAGGAAGGGGAGAAAAAAAAAGAGCAGGTGGGATTGATTAACTCTGGCGTAGCTCCATCAACTGTTCCAGGAAGCCGTGTCAGGAGAAAAAAAACACACAAAAGAGACGCCTCCCCTAAAATCGGCAAGCAGCCATCATAAATACACCTGTGCTGTTCCAACTGTGACCAGACAGAATTTGCATCTGGATCCACAGCGGGAAGACAGCTGAGCATGCAGAAACTGTGTGATTGGAATAATGTAAAAAAAAAAAGAGGGGAGAGAAAAAGTTGGGTGAAGTACACAAATAGTGTGCAGAGCGAGCTACAAAATTTGACCACAGAAAAGTATTGTGAGCTCTTGCTGTCTTTCTAGTGTGCATAAGAATAAAAATAGTATAAAATAGCYTCCATTACACCCTATTCAGTTCAGTGGAGGCTCCTGCACATGTGTGGGTCTGTGCAGGGGAGCTAGGGTTCTATTCTAAGGATTAAAACCAGGGAACTCATACTTGGGAAGTCTTTTAGTTTTGTGGAAGTTTTATTAAGAGTAAATTTAGGGTTAGATCAGGACAGAGTCAAAGGTACATATAAGATAACGGGTTTTGATGGCGACAGTTAATTAGCCTGAAAGGAATTGATGACAGTGAGAACCGGTCCAGTACCCCTCCTAAAGACTATCAGAGGTCCATCCCATCCAGGAGGACACGAGACATTCTAAAGTTTTTGATAGCATTTGATCACACTTCAGATATGAGATCCTACCTCTGAAACATTTCTATATTTCAGATATAAAAATGTGTTTATAATGCTGAAGCGACATACTTGTTAAACAGAGATTATTGATTCTCTTAGGTCGTATTAACACCTGACAGAACCRGTACACTCGGTTTGATTGGGGACCAAAACTGCAAGATTTGTTTACATTTTCAGTTGGTGTGGTCCGTGTATCGACACGAAAACCTCAGAAGAAGACATGGAGCGCAACTTCCATTTTCATAAAATTCTATTAAATCGCTCCGGGGCCAAGTAACTGGGTAGGTGTGTGTGTGTTTGTGGCCCACAGGCCACCAGTTGAATAGCCCCACTGTAGGGTTTCCCACTAACATGAAGAGTATGCAGTTTCTACAATAAGAGCGTTTTCAATATAAAATAAGGAGATCAGGAGCAACAGGGGAGTGAGGTAAGCCGGTGTCATGCTGTAGAACAATATGGTGTAGATGAAAGGGGGCGGGGATCAGACTGATAATATGTCAATTTAAAAACCACCACTGTACTCTTATGGGTTGTCCTCCCAAAGGCATAAGTACGGACAACGTGCCTGCAATGTATCTGCATCTTTACAGGACTGATTGTGTGTGCATGAACAGAAACATGCTTGTGTTTCTGCCACACTAAGCATTCACACATGACTGCTCAGTATGTAACCTCCCACCGCAAGACCTGATTTCGTTGCGCTCAGGGAAGCATGGAGAAAATCTCATCAAGCCCTCAGAATTGTAAAAACTTCAAGAAATTCTCAGAGCAGTTTTTTTTGGCAGCAAGAGTGGAAAAACACCCACATCTGAAATTAATGCTTCAAGTTTGTTTATTTATTTGGTGGATTTGAACAAATTTTAATGCCATTAGTCTGAAGCGTGACATCACTCCAGATGACATGTAAGTGGCAACGTTCCACTGTTACTTTTAAAGTGATTTGGGAACTTTGATTTCCCAAGAATTTTGCCCAATAAAATAATATTAATAAAAACAACTAAATAGATGCACCTAAACCAGGCAAACTGAAGAATCAGTGTACATGTTAATGCAGACGTAATGATGTATTTGTCTTGGACAACTGGTGACCACGTGTTCTGTACAATTTGTTTTGAAAAGGCCCAMGCTTCCTCACCTGAGAGCAGGGTAAAAGTGACAGAGTAGATGCCATTCTCTTTCGTGGCAGCTGTGCTCTCCGTGTAGGTGATGTCCACCTGAAATTTGACCGGCTTCTGGAAGACTGTGGGGCCGGCTGTGGACTTGTACTCTGCTCGAAAACTGGTCTGTGAGATGACACTGTGACTCAGGCTGGGAATCTGACAACAAGAAAAAAAAGAGGAGTCCATAAAAGATAGCAATAAAAATAGGCAGAGAAACGACACGTTATGAGAATACAGTGGGTAAAATAAGTATTCAGTAAATATATTACTAGAGGTGCTAATAACATGAAATTTTCACCAGATGTCGGTAACAACCCAAGTGATCCATACATACAAAGAAATCAAACCATAAATGTCCAGAAATGAAGTTATTTGTAATGATGTGTAGGCCTGTCGCGAT